CGACGCTCTAATTAAACTGAGCTAACGGGTTCAATATATAAAAATTATAAAAATGAAATAAAAGGTTATGTTGTTTTAAATATTAATGAGACTACGACGTGACTGGCTAGAATTAAAGTGCGATTTTGTACTCTTTGCGCAATACTTACGTGTGGAAGAAAACTCGTGCCTATGGAAGATGTAAGATGTTTTAGAAAATATACTGCAATAGGTTATTCCTGTCCAATTTTATTTCAAATACTGATTGCAAAGCTGGTTTATGATAGGAACATATACTTTTTTACCAGGTCTCTTACAAGCATAAACTTCAGTTGTCTATACGGTGTAATTCATAGACTCGACCTGGAAAGGATCACGCTCTAATAAAAGACCAGCGTGAGGCAGCGGTATAATGTTACCGTATTTCGTATGATGAGTGAGAACCAGAGACCCTTTATGAAAAAAAGTAAGACAGAAGCGCAAACATCGAGATCATGGTCAAAGATAAAATTATTCTAGGATATATGATTGGCGAAAGCTGTAATAAATAAATCAATTTCAAATTTTGTTCTATATTAAGCAATTTCTTTATTAAAATTTGCGAGTCAATTTTTTTATATAATCGTATAATTTTTCTAGAGAATTACTGTAATGTTACTTTAATTTTTAATATTCATATTTACACGCAATCATTATTCAGATCATTGCAGCCTATTAAAAGCCCACGGCAAACCACAGACTTTCCAAATACAAAATCACAACGCACAATCCTGAGTCATCTGTATTTATCGACGATATGCATATTATCTAATTGTTATTATATACAATATACATCATACATATTATGATTAATTGCAACTGCACTTATTATCGTTTTCCGATAATTGGACAGTGTTATGCGGAAATAATTCAACTTAAAAACTGGCCATAATAATGATCGAGTCTCTTTTGTCAGTATATTTCTAAGTATAAAATACTTGTGAAAAATGACAAGTTATTCTAAAACTTGCATTCAAATGGTACACATAATTTGGTATAATAGGGTTTCTGCCACAAGTAAAATGTATTTATCTTTCAAATCTGATTAACTTTATGTTTTTGTAGGTTGAAACATTTCTACGCAACACGGTTGCGTAGATTTTAGCCCACACAATTTTAGCCCAAAAAATGCGATTATCCAAAATGTACCTACATTAATACAGTGTAGGTTTGTTATGATAACTAAAATATAAAAGATAAAAATAGCTCCCCATGGAGCATCTTATGATATTAAGTTAAAATGAAATTGTTCGATGATAATGGCCGTTGTTGTAGAAATAATATGCGTACTTTGTTGATAAGTAATTTAAGGAAAACCTTAAAGTGCTAAATTTGCGCTTGTTCTAAAGATTACTTCAAAAAAATATAAGATGTTATTTTGTACATTTTTAATGCGTCAATGCATTCCCTGTATTTGAAATGTTATGGTTGTCCATGCGTTTTGGTTTGCAAATGTAGGCAGAGTTTTTGATTAAAATAGAATAAAAAAGATTTAGTAATGTTACCAGTAAACCACTTTAATAGGGTTTTGGGTGCATCTTTTTACCAGTTTGTAGAAAATTTACTGCAGAAATCTGGCATGGCATGAGCATGAGGTTGCCGTAATTGGCATATCAGCCGTGCTTGGCTGTAGGATTGTTGCTCCCCTTCAATAGTCTGAGTGTAATTGTTCTAGGAAGTTTTTCTAGTCTTTCCCAAAGTTCTGTTTCTATTTGTTCATCGTGAACGAGACAAAATCGAGTGATAGATACTCTTAAGCCACTACTATACATTTTAAGGGCTTTTGAGAGTATTCTATCACAAGTTTACTATGAAATAAGAAAGTTATGATTTGGATTTTGAACAGCTATCACATTGCGCACATTACATACGTGGTAGAGCCATGCCGCAGTTATATTAGTGGTATAGTTGTAGCACGAATGGGTCGGCTCGACCGGGGAAGGACCACACTCTCACTGAATACCAGCGTAGAATAGTAGCTTAATGCTGCTGTGTTTCGTATATTGAGTGTAGAGTACCCGAGACCCTTTTTACTGGAAACGAGGCATTCCATCTTAGTCCTCACGGGTGACAACGCATCTGAATTTTAATTTGTAGTCGAGGATAGATGTAGATGCCTATGGGCCGCAGCAACCACTTACCATCAGGTGGACTGTGTGCTTGTTTGTCACCCTATCCTATAAAAAAAATTGCCGTGCAGTGATAACGGCGTAACACAATCCTCGACTTCGCTTCACCCTGTTGATGTCGTAAGAAGCAAAAATCTCATGACTTCCAATAGATGGGGATTAAAGAATCGCAATTACGTCAGACGTAAAGTTCCCAGACCGGTGACGGGCTGCAGGAGCGTCAGAAGTGTGTTAGACGTTTGATGCTATGACCATCATGACTATCAATTCTCCTGCCGTGTGCTACAGTTTTTTTTTTAAATAAAATTGAAGTGTCACCAATGAACTTACAATCCACTTGTAACCAACTTCAAAGAAAGAAGGCTGTAGGGAATAATATTTGCTTTAATATTAAATTTAAATGTTTGGTGTGAACTATATAGAGTGCCAGTACAATACAGACTGTGAGGCGTTCCACCTTAGTCCTCAGGGGCGACAACGACATTTGCATTTTGATTCTTTGTCGAGGATATATGTCTATGGGCCAAAGCGTTGTCATGTGATTAGAATGCTTTATTATAAGTATGAAAGACACAATATAAATTGTGGATTAACTATTTTATATTAATCATATATATATATATATATATATTGCTTTATAAAGTAATGTAAATAAGTTGAATGTAGCTCTTATAGAAGTGTAAAATTAAATATTTTACAACTGTTCTAATTTTTCATAATTTTTTTTAATTACGTTGACTACCAATCCAATCCTAAAATATTCATTGTGTTCTTTGGCAAAGCAACTACTATTCCCTCTCTACCTCTTTTAATATTTTCCTTCTGAATATTTTAAACCAACACTATTTAACAATATGTACAATTGAACACTACCGACTACCCTAATGCCCTACTCCAATGATTTTAATTTTTCATAACTCATTAGAAAATATTCCTTGTGTTCATTGTAAAGCAACAGTATCTAACAACCTCTGTGAGTACATAGAAATAATACCTATACTCTAGATACTCTACTCATTTTTGTTTTTAAATTGTGCTTCCCTAATCATATTCTAAAATATTCCTTGTCTTCATCAATAAAGCAACAGTATCTAACAAACTCTGTGAGTACATAGAAATACTACTTATGCTCTACATACTCTACTAATTTTTGTTTTTTAAATTATGCCTCTTATAGAATATTCATTGTCTTCATAAGTAAGAGAATACTCTACTTGCAAATACTACGGACTCACTTTCCAATTTCATAGTTTTAATTTTTAATATTCTGTCTCTCCCATCCTAAAATATTTTTGGAGGTCAATGGTTCGATAAAATTTTTCTTCAAGCTCTACCGTCTCTATTCATACTCTATTGACTACACTTCCTACTAAGGTAAAGTGTGTTTCACAGGAGAAATGTGACAGTTTCAAAAATATTAAATTAAGTCGTTCTCAAAGCATTCTCATTCATCATCTTTCGCATCATCGCTCTTTCTATAAGTGACAAGAGTCATATTCATCTGTAACTACCCCGTAACGATATGGACATTGTGAAAGTTATTGCTTAACGTAAGAGATGTTTTTGCACAACAAGTTAACAGACTATGAATAGTGGACTAGTTCTTTAGTTAGCTTAAAATCGAGTAAAATATAAAGTTGTTCGAGAAAAGGTTCATCTCAATTTTCGACTCTTACTTCTATTTCTCTCTTAAAAGCAGCCGGAGAGTCTTTAAACGGAGCAGTATGATATTCACGGATATAATTAATTGCATTACGCCCTCAAAGCGCAGGGAAAGTCCTGAAAAAGTGGCTTAGATGTTACCTAACGCAATTTGTTAAGCATCTGGTAATATTTATAAACTTCGACCGTGGCAAGAAGCTTCTTAATGTTATTTATGATTGTCGGGACGGATTATTTTATTGCTCTGATGACGCTCTTTTTATAAACTATAATATTTTGTTAGTATACGCGTTTTTAATTTTAGCTCGGTACTTCTATTTTAAATCAGACATAAGAAATATTTCATAAATACAGCTTTTTTACATATCTCGACGGATTGTGTTTTTTGTTTGGCAGATGGGATAGTAGTATGTAGGAAGAAAACTTGGTAAAGTATGTTTTGAATAGAAGGAAAGTTATAACACGCGCCATAAACTGGAGTTAAACTTGTTCGTGGTGGATCGATATGTAGGTTTACTTCGACGGACGCATATACCGGACACATCGCGTGCCACCTTTAATACAAAAATATCGATTTTTCCGCATAGTCGCGTCACCGCAATCAATATGCCTTTCCGCCCCATGCCTAATTACGCCCACCTACATCACTCAACATCCATAAAAAGTACCGTAATCACTCCCGTAACAGTACAGAGATGAATACCCAGCCTGAAAAATAGCGCACACTGAATCATTCAAAGCGCACAGGAAAACGCTTCATTGTAAACGTTTTATTTAATTTTCCCTCCATTTACTTTTTATAATTTCTGCCGGGCATAAAAAACGATCCGCCGCCGCAGGAAGGGCGCATACAGACGAGAGTTGCCATATCTGGACGCACACAGTGACAGGAACACCTGTCTCGGAAACGAAAGGTGTGCTCGAGCGCGTGTGTAAGGGATGGTTATATATGTGCTTGGGGCGTGAGAGTGAGAAGTGGTTTGCGCGCGCATAGCGCTGGCACGCCCGCCGCGCGTCCCGCTCGCGCGCTAGCCAGACTAAAAGCCGTCAGTCTATCGCGCGCATAGGCAGCGCTTGTATGTGCCGCCATTTGCAACTACGCGACCGACGCAGTGTCCGTAACTGGTGTTCGGAAAATTGTGCATGTGCGTTTTCCGACGAAGGCAGTGTGTGTGCTTGTGAGATGTGCTATTGTTTTCTAGGTAACTGTGATACTGCTGAAAAAGCGATCAGATGATGTTTTGATTTTTCGATAAACATGTTGGCAGCTTGTATTTTGTTTGTTTTCAAGCTAATTTTTTAATTGTTGAAAAATTCGTTACAAGCTTGACGCATATATTGCTCTATAATATTTTAAGTGCAATAGACACTTATTAGGCGTAAACGCTGTAATACATAATTTAATTTTTGGAATACAACTTGCTGTCCTTAAGAATTTATGACTCTATTAAATACTTGCACTGTTTAGACACGCGTAATAAATAAATCGCCAAACAATAAAATAAATCTAGGACATATTAATATCGACATTAATTATTTTATATTTGGTATAGTATTAATGTACTTTGAACTTTGTTGCGTAATAAAAAAAGTTAAAAATAAACTATAATTTTAGTAGAAATGAAAAATACGATAAGATAACATTTAAATTGATTCATAAATTAATAATAAGTAAATGTTAAATTATTATTAAGTAGCTGTATAAGTAAATTCTGTAATATTTAATCAGTAAAAATTTGGCCGAGCTTTTTTACAGTATTATAAAAAGTTGTATAAAACATCGTAATAAAATGAATTTATCAAAACCAAAAACTTCCTAACAATTACAAAATTAATTGTAATGTTAAGATTATTAAAAAAAATTAAACTCTATTGTAAAATTAGGATCATAATGGACTCTACATTTATTACATGTAACACCATAAAAAATAATAAACATATCTATTAATTAACGTTTTTATCCTAACGTCGTAACTAAATTTTATTTAATGCAACTACAATCTGTTTGAAAAAAATTGGCATAATGATTTCTGATGAACTGTAGTGAATGAAATCATTATTATCATAGTTTTCGAATTCAATTTTGAACAAAGCTATAAGTAAGTTCCGCGCCTCGGGAGAGACCTAAATATGGCCTGCATCAGACTGATACATGCTGATGTTAATGCTTATATGATTCTATTCTTCCCACATTCTTTCAGAAGCTTTCCATTCTTAATATGTGTCTATTGTGACCTTCTTTAATCAAGGTCATTTAAATGATTGAATTTGAGTCACTTATGTCTATTTAACTTTAGATTACATAACTAGAGAACTAATAATTGATTCAAAAGGATACAATTGAGGTCAATTTGATGAGTAAGATTAACCTCGAGAATGCCGGTACGGTTGAAAGACTAACTACCAGAAGAAATGAGAGGTTAATCGAATTAAACAAGAAGGCACCCGAGCGTTTTGTCGTTAGTAGTATCGTATCTAATGTTAAATTACGTGCAGCTGCTGTTGATTCAATAAATACTGATGATGTAGAGTTCATAGGTTTTTTAAGAACGAACAATAAATAACTTTTTTTTTGAAGATATCATTCACCGTGTATTGGCCTTGTAAGAATATCCGCTATCCCGAATCGTCCCATGGGTGTCGTAAGAGGTGACAAGAGGAAAAAAATGAGATAGGCGGCAGTGTCTTCCTATTATACATTTTTATAGGATAGGGTGACAAACGAGCACACAGTCCACCTGATGGTAAGTGGTTGCTGCGGCCCATAGACATCTACATCTATCCTCGATTACGAATCAAAATGCAGATGCGTTGTCACCCGTGAGTACTAAGATGGAATGCCTCGTTTCCAGTAAAAAGGGTCTCCGGTTCTCTACACTCACCATACGAAACACAGCAGCATTAAGCTACCTTGTGGTGCTACCTACGTGGTCCTTCCCCGGTCGAGCCGACCCATTCGTGCTACAACTATACTACTAGGTAATATAATTGCAGCATGGCTCTACCGCGTTTAATTAAATTAACAACTAAAATATAAAAATAAATTGCGGTTGCCACCAGTCGTAGCAACTATGGCAAATATCCGACTTGGAGCCACTATGATGGCAATGTTCAGTAATGGACTTTTGATCGGCTGTAATGGAAACGTAGAACGGTCATATTATTATAGTGTGAGTGAACAAGATATAGTTCATTTGTAAGTGTAAACTATATGTTTACAACAACAATTATAATTTAAGTTACATAAGAAAAATTGATTTATTGTTGTCGTATGCAGAAAGAATAATGGCTTATTACGTTTCATGGCCTGTATTTACTGCGAATAAAACTATGCAATTGAAAACAATACAGTGGCATTGTTTCTTTCAATTAAGAATGTACCTACTTTGGGCTTGTTATTTTCTGTTGTTGCCGTTACTTGGAAGCGGTTGTCGATGTTTCATAATAATGCCGGTTTTTAATTTGCAAAATTAATATCGCGTTCTTTATGCAGTGCCTCTGATTAATTTAGTAATAGAAATATTTTGTTCTTAGAACAGTTATTGCGTACTAATCCCCCGTCACTAGAAACTTTTTGTCAAACAATCATTATCTTTTCTTGACGCAAGTCCACATTTATCTGTATTATTAAAGCTTTTTTGCTGTAGATCTGTTCATCTTCACTGCTGTGGTAATTACGGAGGCTGGTCTCGCTTCTAATTGACTTGAAGTTGTAGCGGACCCTGCCACTGTGGCCTCGTGGATGCGTCACGGTACGACAGGGCAAGACACGGCCCACGAGCCACTAACATTTGCTCGTTAAACTAATTACCTTTATATGTTTTTAGCCAAATCCGTAGTGAGAGAGTGTAGTTTTTTATTTATATATATATATATATATATATATATATATATATATATACACATAAATATATGTGATATAAATTTCCCGTATATCGCAACCCTACTAAAAAGTCATACAATGATAAGGATTAATAGGTACATTAACTGCAGAGTTTTTAGAGCAAAACAATAAAAATTTATTTTATTTTCGCTATATACTTGAAGGCGATACAAAAAAAACTTAAAGCATTTTAATAAGAACTTAATGTCGGAACTCGAGCATATTTAAATAAAGTGATAGCATGTAGGGAGAACGCGAAGTTCTAGCCGCGTTATTATCGACTATGAGATGTACTAGGCGTGATAGGATCTGTGTCGACAGGCGATTTGCTTGGAGCGTCCCGGGAAATGATCGGATTGCATTGGTTTGCAATAAAAACTGCTTTGTCATATTCTGTGACCGAAACTCTTTCAAAGCAATTGGCAATGCGCTACTGTTGCACAGTTGTTTGGAAATATTTTGCAATTTTTTGACCCGTTTTGCTAAACAATATCCTATTGTTTACATTTAAAGGGCGAGTCGTTTAATTATTAGATTTAAACATTGCGATTTATTTTATTATTAAAATCCATTAATACAAAACTAACGTTTATCAGTATTCTACTGATAAACGTTACATAACACGTTACGTTACGTTACAAATGCTGCTTCGCGTAGTTAGGGTAGAGAACCGGCCTCTGCAATCTGCAATTTGATTCTTAATCGATGATAAATGTAGATGTCTTCATCTTCATCACCTTATCATCAGGTATACTATGTGCTCATTTGTCATCCTTACTCTATAAAAATAATCACATAAAAAAGTGGAATGAGTACACAGACCTATTTCTGGAAATTAGATAATAACTTAGAGTTACAAATATATTATTTCAATAAGAATTATAGGGGAAAGAAACTAATGAGCGTAAAAACAACTTCGGTCAGCTATCGTAACTGCGCTTTCCGTTTAATGTAAATATTCACAGCAATAAAATCTATTTAGAGGTGATTAATTAAATGGAGCATGACGTGTTTTCTTACTCTGGGCACCCGACGGGCTCCCGACTTGTATACTGCTTGCTGGTTACTAAGTAAAAAACCAACGTCATAAACATTTTTAATTAAGGATCTTTTGCCGCACATTGAGCGCTACACAATTTAGTGATTATAGTCTAAACAGTTTATATTATCCATTCTCTACTTATTGTTTATTTTTTCAGTTATTGTGTATGTAGTACCTGTGTGTACCATATTTATTTTTGCATACACTTTTTAAATAACGTAACTAATCACTAATCACTGTCATTTTATTTATTATACGTTAAGTTTTATTTGCACTTATATGAAGTAATGTAGAGTATTCCAATGTTATTTTTATTTAAAAATATTGGCCCCTAACGTTTTATTTAGTTAGTAATTTTTTTAAATGTCTATTGTAAAAATGATTGAATGGAAAAATGAAACAGTATAACAGGATTGAGTTGTATTACTTAAGAAGAAATGGTATCATGGTTACGTAGGTTTTAAGGGGTGAAGCAGACGCGGGCGGGCGATCGGCGCTTGGTTTTTTTCTTTATTTACTCGTAAAACTCTACTGTTGAAGATGAGCCACTCACGTTGTGGAAAGGATTTGTCATAATCGCTAAGGTTGGTCAGCGCATTGATGATCGCAGTCCTAACGTGGCAGAACCAAATGAGTAACATGTGATTTGATTCTTAAACGAGGCTATAATATGTACTTTTATTTACTTATTATTATAAACCGGTAATTGACAACAATCCCAATTTTTGGTTGTGTTTTAGCCTTAGGAGGTAAATCGCACCGTCTAAGCGTGAAAAACATATTCCCTCTTGTTTTGAAGCCCCACACGAAAAGCTGTCATTATATTATTGAAAAATACAACAAGTACTACAATGATTACTGCTATTAAATATTTCGTCGACAAAATTATGTGCCAGCTGCCATCGGACTCGTGCCCGACAGACGATGTCACTATCACGCGAAGTTTTTGTTTCATAAACAGGTGGTATGTGGGTGTTCTCATCCTAAACGGGTAAATAGGCGCAATTTAGGCCACCGCGGCCGGTCGGTCTGATTCAACACTTCGTTGGGGCAATTAGACTCAATTTGCAGAGCGTATTCTATGAACATGGTCTCGGATCTAACAAAGGCTTATTTCACTAGAAATTGGGTTGAACGTTTTGCATGATAAAACGCTTCGCGGGCGCTTAATTTTCGTAATCCTGTAAAATTAGAAAGTTTACAAGCGTTATTACGCGTATTGCAGTTGACTTTTCATTTTGCGTATGGTGCTGCAAGCAATCGACGGCATATTTAAT